AACCTGACAGCGGCGGCCTGCAACCTGCTAGCGATGGCCTCCAACCTAATAGCGATGGCCTCCAACGTAGAAATGATGGCGTGTGATGAGTGGCACTGCAGCATACATTTCCCAGTCCACTAGCAGCCTACAATTTGCCGTCCTTGATGGTCCTTCCTCTTTTTTTGTCCCTCTCAACGATGGTCAGGAGTGTGTGGCCGACACACACGCACACACACGTCAGAATGCAAAAGAAATCATTGTACAGAAAAAGACATAGAAGCAGGAACATAATAAAAAACAGTAGTACAAAGAAGAAGAATAAGAATAAGAAGAAGAAGGAGAAGGAGAAGGAGAAGGAGAAGGAGAAGGAGAAGGAAAAGAATAACAAACATGATAATAAGAAGAACATAAACAGAAGAAACATAACCATAATAAGAAAATAAAAAGACATGCAACAACTCATCGCAGCAACAGATCAACAAACAATCGCAGCACACAAGAGTGGAGGCCATCGCTAGTAGGTTGGAGGCCATCGCTATTAGGTTAACAGCCTGTGAAGAGAAGAAGGGTTGTCAACGTTGTTTCAAATCTCACCGTGACGAGTAGGTATGTCCTGCCACCACAGTTCAAGGAGTGTGTTCGTTGAGTGGTCAAACATAGGCAGTATAATTCTTATTCTATGCATGTCTACGGAGAAATGTATACATCCTGGGAAACCTATATAGTTGGGGTTGGTTCAAACCTGAGGTGCTGGAAGGTCCAAAAGAATTTAGGCCTGAACCGGTGGAAAGAATGAAGGCGCGGGCAGAAACTTGTTGGTTCCAGATAACTCCATCTTGGAAGCTTTGCTAGTAGGTTGGAGTGCACGTGCTATTAGGTTAACAGCACGTGAGAAGTATGGAGAACTTTTCTTTGACAGTTGGAGTGCTGGATGCAAACTCACCCAGTCTCAGAGTCGCATTTGACACGCGTTTTGAGTCATTTCTTAGTTCTGCAATGTTTTGCCAAATTTGCTGCTTGTACTCCATCACTATTCTTTAATCAATCTATTTTTTTAAAATGAGTTTGAAGAATTTCACGAACATCTCCCAGCGCCAAGGTTTGGGTTTCCCAGTTTCGGATTGAACGTCTGTTGCAACAGGGCCGTGCTTTGGCAGATGGTGCTGTTGGCTGGGTCACAGCTACAACCAAAAGGCCTTCTTCTTGCGAGACTTGGACATTTCCTTGCATTCGAACGTGAGTGCTTTTCAATACTAGGAGCAAGGACGCTACTAGGGGCTCCTGGTCATACTACTAGTAACAAGAAGCTACTAGGAACAAAGGGCATCGCTACTAGGAGCAAGGACGCTACTAAGCACATTACAACGAGTTTCATATGTCGACTCGTTTTAGCCTCCGCAGCTTTTGGCGACAGGCTAAAGCGCTGGTATCCCAACTACATTTGCAAGCAGAACACTGCTGCGCCCTGAGAGAAGCTAGTAGGTTGGAGGCCATCGCTATTAGTTTGGAGGCCATGGCTATTAGTTTGGAGGCCGTCGCTAGTAGGTTGGCATCGCCATTAGGTTCCTGTTGCTTCTTTTAACATGGAAATCACCTCTTCCTTTCATTGCACTTTTTCACTTTTGTTTTAAAACCACACTTTCTTAGAGTTTGAGTTGTTTTGCTTGTCTTCCAGGTCCTGCAAACCACTGTATCGATTGGCCCAACGGCCGGTTTGGTGCGTCGAGTGGAAGAGGGTGAGCTGCTGGAGGTGTTGGATGGTCCGAAAGAGGAGCTGGGCCCAAAGGGATTCAATAGCAATGGGGGCCTTCAACCCGCCTTCATAGTTAAGTGGCATGTTGAGACTCATAGCGACGGCCTCCAACCTGTCATGTTCAGCGCGACTTGAAGTGGGGACCGCGTGGACCGTATTTCTTGGGACTCAGAGGCTGTGTGTGAATGGTTTTTCGCACGGTTTGGTGACCAACATAGCCATGAAGGCGTACGAAGTTGTCAGGACTCAGAAGCTGGAGTTCTCAGAGTAAAAGTCAAAACTCGCAAAGATCAGGCCGTAGGTGCGCTTCTTTGACTCTCGACTTTTTCATTCTGATTCACTCCTTGAAATGACTGGAATCAGCCAAAATGACCTTTACTGAGGTTGGATCACCTTGAAAGGAAATCAAGGAACACTCTTCCTCATACAGTCAAGGGCCATAGTCTTCTCTTGGTTTATGACGTGGAAAGTAAGTAGCTGATTTGTTGTGTGACGAGTCTGAAATCGATCCTTAGGTGGAGCAGAAGAGACGAAGAACAACTTAAGCACGGAGTCCCACCGTATGTCCGCATATGCACAGTGCATGGAAGCAGGGATGTCCAGACAAATCACAGCGATTCCCAGGCAGAAACAGAAATCACTCCAAGAAGGCTCGCAAGCACTCCCGTTGTGCTTTGTTGACACTCAAGATCGTCTTGACAGATACTTAGTCACGAAAGCTAGCTGTAGCTAGCTGGAGTCTGTCTTGCTTTAGCAAGGGAGGGTGGGAACCCAGGACCTGAGTGCTAACTGGGGTGGTTGTGTGTTGCCTGTGTTGGGGTTGTATTGGGGGCGTTGTTGGCACTCTCCTCCTTTGCCCTCAGCCATAACATGTTGCGATTCCCGGCCAGGGCTCTGCTGCCAAAAGAGCCCCAGTGCTGCTTTAGGTTAAGGCCACTAGCGATGGCACCTACTAGCGATGGCCTCCAACCTACTAGCGATAGAACGGGCTGATTCATTGACAGGCTCCTGCGAAAAGAGGCCTCATTGACCAGGAACTATTACATTCCTTCTTTCCAAAGGGAAGAGCCAGTGGCGATGCGGACGACACAACGCTCGGCGTACAGGACTTGGTGCGGCCAAGGAAAAGGAGTGATACTCCATGGTGTGAAACAGGCGCCACGTTTCGTTCAGGTCCGTGACACGTTACTAGAAGCGATGCACTTGTTTCTACTAGCTTTATTGTTACTACTAGTAAGGCACTTGTTACTAGTAGCGTGGCACTTGTTTCTACTAGCTTTCTTGTTACTACTAGTAAGGCACCTGTTACTACTAGTAAGGCACTTGTTTCTACTAGAATTTTGCCGCTTTGCCCAACTTCTTGGTGGTGAAGGAGGGTTGGGCGCAAGTGATGCTAGGCCAGTGGCGTTGAGCTTCAATGACGGGTCTTGAGGTCAGACCCTCAATCTGTTAAGTTCTTTGGTGTTCCTTTGTTCCTTTCTTTCTTTCTTTCTTTCTTTTCTTCTGTAGGCCTTTCTTCCTTAGACTTTTCTTCCTTTCTTCCTTTTTCAATTGTTTTTATCAAAACCTTTCCTCCGTTTTTAAAGAGATATTTTATTCTTTTGACTTCGGCGTTTCTTCTTTTCCCCTTTTACGTGTATTCTGTTTCTGTAGAACTTTCTTCTTTTTCCTTTCTTTCTGTAGACCTTTCTTTTTTGTGCTTCTTTCTTACGCTTTCTTCCTTTTAGTATGTCTTTCTTCATTCTTCTCTCTTTATTTTTTCCTTTAGGCGTTTCTTCTTCTTTTGCTTTAGACCTTTCTTGTTTTTTCTCTTTTCTTTCGTTAGACTTTTCTTCCTTTACTTTTTTTTTTTTTTTTTGACCTTTTCTCCATTTTTTTATTTTTTTTTTTCTTTTGACCTTTTTCACTCTCTTTTTGACGTTTCTTCTTTAGACCTTTTCTCATTTTTCTTTTTGTAGACCTTTCTTCCTTTTCTCTGTTTCTTTAGACGTGTCTTCTTTCTTTCTGCCTGTCTTTCTTTCTGCCTTTTTCAATTTCCCCACTTTTGCTTTAGATATCTCTATCTCTTTTTCTTTCGACCTTGCTTCCTCCTTTTGATGTTTCTTCCTTTTTTCTTTAGACCTTTCTTTTATCCTTTTCTTTATTTTTTCTTTAGACTTTTCGCCTTTCGTCCCAACTGTCGTTTTTTTCTTTAGACCTGTCTTTTTTCTTTAGATATTTCTTCCATTTTCTTTATTTTGTTACCTTTTTCCTTGCAAGGTGACACCCTCGATCTGACAAGTGTCACAGATGAAAAGAGGTTTCACGTCCGGACTTCTGTTTTGCACTCCAAAACACCAATCCTGAAGCGTCCTGAAAGCCGTTTCCAGAGATGTTTTCTTGTTGGGGTCTACATCCGAGTGCTCCTGGGGAGTGGGAGTACATCCGACCGAGCATCGCCACTCCGCAGGGATGTCTCGGTCGGATCAAAGAAGGTGACATAGCTCCGCGGCTCCGTGACGTGTCTCTAGTGGAGGAGGAGCCCAAAGAGCGTGATTTCTGAGTAAGGAAGATCCGACACCGAAGAAGTCTGTACTATCTGAGACAGTGATAGACTTGATAGACCATCATTGGGCCAAGATGAACATCCGATCGAACTACCAGCACTGGTGAACGACATCCTGGTGTTGACCATGCTTCACCAATAGCGCGACCGGTTTGATCCCGGTTTTCGGTGGGAAAATCCGTGTTCTCTCCGTTCCGGCCGTCCTTTTCCTCCGCCTTCCGGATGGCACTGACTCTTCTCTCGCCTTTTCCAGCGTCGCGCCAAGGTGCCGAGAGAAGACGCGTTTGTGACGCCGGGGTTAACACTGGCCGGATCTTGGGACGAAGTTTCTCTGGCCTCCAAAAAAAGAGAGAGGACTTGGGGAGCCTGTCACGTCACACCATGCTGTGTGCAGTTTTGGAGGATCCGTCCAGTGGCGACCCGACCATACCCGCCATGTCGAGACGTCTGTCGTTTATGCGGAAAGAACGCTGGAACGTGGCCGGTCGCGTGTCGGGTCTCGGGTCGGGTGCCTGGGGCTGAGACCTTGTTTTGTGAGGCACATGCCATTCTCCAAACTAGGCCATCTCAATTCACCCGTAGTGAAACACCGAGTCGCATGCCCTCAAGTCCTTGGAGTCCAACGCCATCCCGCAACCACACAGCATCGGTTTGAAGCAAGAAGTGCTGTGGATGATGTGCATCTCTGCGAAAGCTGCAGGCTCAAAGAAGCTATCGAGGCTGTAATGTATCCAACCACCAGCGGTGCAGGCTTTAAGGCTTTAAGGCTTTACTTATGACGACAAGCCAAGAACATACCACCAACACCCCAGTGGTAGTGACTGGCTTGGCCTTCCAGGTGGACAACCTTTCTTTCATGGCTCTAAAGGCCTCAAACAGAAAGACAAAAAGAGGAAAGAAAGAAGAGAAAAGGTAAAAAGAAACAACATTGCATTCTTGGTACGTTTTTGGTTGAGAGGTTGCTTACTGTAGAACACACCCTACATAAGCCCTACATCCCAGGTCCGTTCCTCTCCGAGGCGTCCGATCTGCGCGTTCTGCCGCCATGGGCACCGTCGAGCTCGACTCGGATGACGATGTCCAAGCGCCTTTGCTCCGAACGAAGCTTTATTGTTACTACTAGTAAGGCACTTGTTACTAGAAGCGATGCACTTGTTCCTAGTAGCGAACATTGCTCCTAGTAGTAAGGCCAAGAGCCCCTAGTAGCGTCCTTGCTCCGTTCGTAGCGATGCCCTTTGCTCCGAACGTAGCTTCTTTGTGCCTAGGTCCAAGCGCTGCCGACTCCCGCGGCAAGAACGACTCCGCCTCCCACGGCGGAGGCTCGATCGATGTCCGGAGCACGCGCTGAACGCGGACAGAGAAAGAGCCTGGAAGGAAGTGAAGAACTAGGAGCAATGTTCGCTACTAGGAACAAGTGCATCGCTTCTAGTAACAAGTGCCTTACTAGTAGTAACAATAAAGCTACATTCGGAACAAAGGGCATCGCTACGAACGGAGCAAGGATGCTACTAGGGTCTCCCGGCCTTACTACTAGGAGCAAGGACGCTACTATTGGAAGTAAGAATCAGTTTTTGTTTCAGTTGAGTCTCAGTTGAGTCCTTTGCTCAGGGCGGCTCCACATCGAGCCGAAAGCGCAAGGAGCGAGTGGAGGCCAAGCCGGCAGCGGCCTTGCCCTACGGTTGGATACGAAAGCAATCGAAGTCCAAAAAGGGAGCCTATTACTATGCCAATATTCTCACAGGCAGGGCAAGAAACTACCAGTAACAAGTGCATCGCTACCAGTAACAAGTGCATTACTACGATGCCCTTGTCTCAGAGGTAGGGCCGGCCCCGGACGGGCCGCCGCATGTCCAAGCACTCACTTGTCGGTTTGACTTTCTGTCTGATACATGTGTTGCTCTCTTTCTTTGTTCCTAGTAGCGATGACACTTCTTGTTGCTCTCTTTCTTTTTGGCGTGTCACTCTTGGCAAGGCAAAACCCAGGTACAAAGGCCTGGGCCAAGAAGCAAAGAGACTCGTGTGGGCGCAGGCGCCGAAGGCCGGGGAGATCGAAGAGATCCGCCGGCGGATTCGACGGGTGGACGACTGGAGGACGACTGGGCAAATGCTGTGAGTGGGCGCTATTAGGTTGGACCCCCATCGCTATTAGGTTCATTTGCTACATTCGGAGCATTTCGGGCATCGCTACGAACGGAGCGATCGGACGTTACGTTCGGGGCTCCTGGCCTTACTACGAACGGAGCAAAAGCTGTTAGGTTGGAGCTTCTGGCAGTCTACTTTTGCTTCGCCAAATCCAGAGAAGTGACATGAGGTAACAGGTGCTGTCTGTCGCCAATGCGATGCTGTGGCAAGAGAGCGTGCCCATTGGATGGAGACTTGCCAAGTTGTTGGACAACTCTTGCATCAACCAAAGGTCATGACAGCAAGCTTGCGGCAGCTTGCGCTTGTTGGTGTTTGCTTTTGAGCAAGGAGCTCTTGGGGCACCTTTTGGTGCAACACTTGAAACTGTGATACTTGTGAGATCGAGTTTGGACACTGCAAGCCTGGCGCAAGCTGCGACTTGCTTCCCCTCGTGGGTGGCCCGCAGCGATCTTGTGGCCTCCACTTTGCTGTGAGTCCGTTGGCTGGTTTGGAACAAGGTCCGGAGGCTGCTGCGAACGTGATCCTGCTCCATGTTTGTTGCATCCCACCAATTGCCTAAACCAATTGCATCAGCAGCCCTGTTGCCCTGATGCCAACTGCGGTGTCCAAGGCTGCGGTCGCCTGCGCGAGCGACAGTGGACGAGTCGACTCGCCGACGACGAGTCGAGTCGCGTGCACGGACCCAGACTTGTCTGACTTGAATTGTGGTACATGTATGTCGGAGCATATGTACATGTGTCTGCATTTTTGCTCCGATTTGGTTCAGTTTAAGAACAGACATTAAAACAAGAAGGGTTCACCTTGCAGTTTTGCCACGTGATGTTTAAACCCAAGAAAGTCGCTCATTGTCTCCAATTCGCAAGCCGTTTGGGCCCCGTGCAAGAAACTTTGCCGCCTGTCACCTCCTTCGTCGTTGCTCGCGAGCATTTTTTTCAGGAACGAAAGAAGTGAAGAAGATGGCTCCTGAAGAAGTGCGGCAAAGGCCACGACTTGGTGGAGAGCGCCAGCAAGGGGAGGCTTCCTTATGTGGTAACGTTGAGTTCCCATGGGAGGCAAGCTGAGTTTGAAGCAGCTGAAGCAGAATTGGAAGCAGCAAAGCGCCAGGCAGCAACCTGATTGTTCGATGCTGGCAAGTCTTTTGTAATTGAGACGCTACTAGTAACAAGTGCATCCCTACTAGAAACAAGTGCATTACTACTAATAGCAAATAGCTACTAGTAGCTTCTAGCTACTAGTAGTAATGCACTTGTTGCTAGTAGCGATGCACTTGTTACTAGTAGTAACCGTTTGCATTTTTGAATTTTGTCCGAGGCTGCTGAAAGGCGTGCTGCTCAGAAGGCGGATGGAACCCGGTTGAGTACATAGACAGTTTTGTTTGGCCAACAAATTGCGAAGACCATCCACTTGAGTCTGAGGCTGCCAGCAGATTAGTTGACTTGTTACGACTCCCAACTTGAGCCGAGTGTTAGGCAGTTGTTGAAGCAGAGCCGGTTGAGCATTCGGAGGAGGCTGAAACCGTGTCGAACTCGTTTTCCTTTGTTGCACCATCTTTTGCTGAGGAGCCGGGCTCACAGGAAGAAGAGATAACGGGAGAGGAGTGATTTCTTGTCTCCAACCTAATAGCAACCATTTTGTTTGCCAGCAAAACTCAGATGTTTAAGCCAGCTGGATTCGAAGCTTCGATTGGAGGACCTAGCCAAGTGGAAAGCACAGGAGGAGCAGCGTGAGAAGAGGGAGGCCCTTGTAATTGGCACGATAAGAGAGAGAGAGAGAGAGAGCGGCTTTGATCTATGGGATCCGCTACTAGTAACAAGTGCATCGCTACTCGTAACAAGTGCCTTACTAGTAGTAACAAAATGCTTTTAGAATTAAGGTAAAATTACATTAAATTAACTAGCTTCTTGTTACTACTAGTAAGGCACTTGTTACTACTAGCTTCTTGTTCCTATGGAACGCCGTGGACAGATAGTCAGGTTCAGCTCAAGACCATGCCGAATGCCAGTGATTTGCCACCAGTGCCGCCAGTCTTGGAGCCATGTTTGGATATCTTGAAGGCGTGTTCAGGGTTCACTCAGAAGATACTGATACTGGTAACAAAGGGCATCGCTACTAGTAGCAAAGACGCTACTAGTAGCTCCTGGCCTTACTACTAGTAACAAGAAGCTATTAGTAGCAAGGACGCTAGTAGGTTGGAGGCCATCGGTAGGTTCATCCTTCTGAAATCCTTTACATGCCAGGAGCCCCTAATAGCGTCCTTGCTCCTAGTAGCGATGCCAGGAGCCCCGAACGTAGCGTCCAAGCCATTTGTTCAGGACGACAAATGGGTGGAACGGCATTCTCTGTCCGCCGGCCAGCAACGCTGGACACTGGGCAGAGCTGTTGGAGAGGTGGACTTCGTGATGAATCACCCGAGCATTTCCAGGCCGTTTCGTGGACATGTCTGGACAGCCTGACGGGCCAGACCTGATTTTGGACGCCTCAGTTCTTTTGGGTTGATCGGTTTATCCACTTTGTGCAGGCAACATGCTGCACTATCTAGAGGAAGTGCAGGCATTTACCTGATGGATCTGAATTCAGGACATGGTATATTTCTAGATGGACAGAGGATCGAAAAGAATCTTCGCGTGCTTCTGAAACATGGAGCAGCCATCCGATTTGGAAATTCCACAAGGCTCTACTACTTCCATGAGCCACTCTGAAATCGTCCCAAGAGGACAATTCCGAGGCTCAAAGAAGGCCGAGGCTTCAGCGCAACAGAAAAGGCCGAGGCTGCAGCTTCAGCTTCGTAGATTTCACCGTGTATACCCTGTATACCTTGTTGGAACCTGATATGCATGTGGAATGCAGCTTTTGGGTTACCCATGTGAACTGTGAAGGGACCATTGACCATTGGGATTCTGAACAGCTTCGAAGCAAAGCCTCTTGAACATTGACCAGACTCTGTGACTGTGTGACCTGCTTGAAGCCTTGGCTTTGTTGCCTCTCTTGGGCTCTTCTCTTTGTATCCGGCTTTTTCCCTTTTGCTTTTCGGGCTCAAGTGTTCTAAGTTGCAGGATTCCGTAAGCGCAAGCGCACGCGCGTGTGTTACGCACGTGCGGCCATGCTGCGATGGGCAGCATTGGCGGCAGTGCTCGCAGCCGCCGTTTGTGCAGACGAAAGCTTTGACCATGCTGTCTCTGTAGATGCTGATGGACGTACGAATGAGTACTCACATCATTTGGAATCAGAGCCTTTGAGTCTGAGTGAAATCACTCCACATTGGTCCTTGGATGATGCAGCTCTCCTTCCACAACAACATGTGACGAACAGCCAGCCGAGCCAATCGGAGGAGGATGAATCAGCTGATGATGAATCAACTGATGATGATGGTGATGATGAGGAGAGCTCAGAGGAAGCGGTTGGGACCGAAAAAGGGAACTTCTCCTTTTCGTACCGTCAACACGTGACAGGCTCCACACCCACCGGACCGTTAGGAATCGGCACGCCATCGGTGGGTTTGAACATGATCTTGGATACGGGGAGCGACAAGTTCGTGGCAAAGACCTGGTCAACCATCAAGGCAGAGCTGGATAAGATCGATGCCGGTGCTTCAGAGGAGGTCTTCCCGGGAAACAAGATTTACAACCACAACTCGTCCAAGTCCTATATGCAACTCTTTGCTTCTCAACATGGAAGGAAAGTCCCACGTCAGGGATTCATTGCATATGGAAGTGGCATGGCCATCACCTTGGAAGGCAAAGAGACCATTCGTGTTGGAACTGATGAGAGGTTTATAAGCATGCACAAGTTTCCCATCTCCGAGATTAGCCTGGACTCCCTTCAGATTTTGCATTCTTCGAAAGGAATCTCAGGTATCCTTGGACTTCAGCATATGATGAAACTTAGCTTATATAGAGATGCGGTTTTGAGAAAGGGTTTTGAGCGGTTGAACGAGCCATTCTCACATGCGTGTTTTCTTCGCTTCTGAGCCTTGCCAGTCCAGGAATCGATCATTGGGCCAGTCCTTCTATTCCGTTCTCAGGGACAAAGGGATCTTGAATTCTTTTGGCTACTGCCGTGGCAAAGACAATGATGGCCCAGAGCTTGGAGGGGGAGGGCAAGAAACGAGCCTGACTGTCGAGCAGCGTCCCAGGGCCCATTTGCAAAGCTGGAATCGGATCACTCAGGTACCTTCATTTGGGGGGACAAGTGGGGATGCCAAGAGCGTGCTCTCAGTCTTGCGAGACCTCCAAGCATTTTGCAAGAACACGTGCAAAGGTGTTTGCTCTGGTGTTCTGTAAAAGATGACCTTTGTTTAGACGAGCACCAAGAACGAAAGAGAGGAACGAAAAAGGTCCAACATTTTTTTAATCAATTATGATTTGCTTGTTTGTTTGCTTTCCTTGTCTTGTTATTGTTTCTTTGTTTGTTCCTAGTTCCTTCTTCTATCGGTCTTTAGCGGTCAAGACCCAAAGAGAAAAGCGTCGATCGCTTTTGCGCCGCCCGGCCCAGATCCTCTGATGGCAAAGCTGTGGATGTGGCTGGGCAAATGCATTGGGCAGTGACAGTGAAGAACATGCACGTGAAGAAGCACAAGCACCTTAGCAACCTTAGCACAGCCAGCTTGCTAAGTACCCATTCCGACAAAACCAAGCATGCTACTTAGCTCTCTAAGTTTAGCTTGGACTTCACAGCCGGCAGTATCGTAACTAAGATTCTTTCCTCTACATCTTTCCATACGACAGATTGTCATTTTCCCTAATCATGGGGAGCTCTTATTGCACGCACAGTTCCATGTATGTTCCGTGTGAGAGGCTCTCAATATGTTGACTCAGAAGCATTTGACCACCCTTACCAAATGGAGCATCATTTGAAATCATTCCTTTCCGCTTTTTGAATGAAAAGAAGGCATCATGCCACCTCCTTTATGGAGCGCTTTGATGCGCGGAGCAGCGACGAGGAGGATGCGGCAGCTCGGTCGTGGGTCATGGCGCGTTTCGGCCGAGGGAGATGCACGGTTCACTCGGAGAACGCTTTTGGACGACATCCGTCGACGCGTGTTTTCAACATGTTCTCGTCTGTGCTTTAAAAGAAGAAAGACTCTAGCAAATTTTTATCTTGCAAATCCCAATCTTTCTGCCATTCTGTCGCATTCTGTCAGACTAAGGATGTATTCTTAGAACAAGAGGCGAGTGGGATCGACAGTTGTTTGTTCATCGTGTGCGAGTGTTTGGGAACGCACTTGGGCTTTCTGGATCGCAACTTGGTCGTTTCACCACAGACTGTGTCTTGGTGTCACCATCATCCGCAGAACCACTCGCACTCCAAGTTCCATAAGTTCCACATCTGTCGGAAAAGCCAATGCGTGGCCGTGATCGACACTGGATCCAATATCATTGCAATGCCATCCGAAGCTGTGAGGAGAACTACTGATGAGTTTCTGCAATATTTCGCAATCACATGTGACATGATTGTGTGCTTGTCTTGTCTCAATGTCTGTACAAGTCTCTTTGTTCTCCAGGACTCTAACGAAGATCTTGGATGTTGCCACTGATTGCTCCAACATGGAGCACCTGCCGAATCTTCACTTCGTGTCAGGGCCTGAAGCAAGTGTGTCAAACATGGCAATGAACATAATGAAGCTACGTTCTGGTCTCCTGGCATCGCTACTAGGAGCGATCGGACGCTACTAGGGGTCTCCTATGAACAAAACTGCCAATCTCAAGCATTCCCTGCTTCTTCACCAAGGCTCGGAGACGACATGCACGTCTCTTTGCCACCAAGTGCCTACATCATGAAGGTTCAAATGCCAAGGCTGAAAGAGGATCCCAACTCCCAAGCGGAGGATTCGGAGATGAGAAGCGCCACCTCCGAGAATGCGGATGCCAACCTCGAGGAGGACGATGACGATGAAGCGAGTGACGATGCCAAGGCTGTGGGATCCACACGCTTCCGGATGGCTCGACGTCATGAAGCGGCTGAACTCACAGAAGAAGAAGCAAGGGAAGCACAAGAAGCTCAAACTCAGCGCTACCAGGCACAAGTGGACTCCTTGGTGGAGGAGCGCTTGGTGGGGAAGGGGAACAAGACACATACAAAACAACAGCATGACAACTCACAGGAGCTTCCTCTGTTTGTTCTATGGCTGTATGGCCTTGAGTTCGGAATGCCAAACAACAAGCTACGATCAAGAGTACTTGTCCTTTTGCCATTTTCTTTTCATTTTGGACTTTTAGGCGCACTTCTTTCTTTTCCTTTCTTTCTTTAGGCCCCTTTGTGCACCTTGGTTGGTTCTGTGTAGGATACATATCGCGAACATGGTCTGGATCTTCGCGCGGTGCTTCGAGTTGACCTTACCCAATTCCTTCTGAACTCTTCGACATTGTGCCCAATCTCAGAGGGTTTGATTTCTTCCAAAACGATGGAACCGAATCGGGGGGAGCTTCCTTGAAGCGTGAGCTATCCTGCGTCCATATGTAGCTCAAGTAAGCTACTAGCTACCTTAATTAAGTAGGGAGGGGCGGGAGCGCGCTACAAAAGAACCGTCACAAAAAAGACAAACCATTAAACTGTTAATCCGCAGTGTTTGTAAACTGGTCGTCTGTCTTTTTTGGCCGCTCCCCTGCCTGAGGTGCATGCCTGCTATAGTGCCTTTGGATCGCGAAACTCAGAAGGGAACTCTTCTTGTGGTTTCCCCGGCGGAACTTGAAATTCACTAGGAGCAAGGACGCTACGTTCGGGGCAGGACTAGGAGCAAGGACGCTACTAGGGCTCCTCTTTCACTTTGTAAGCAGTTCATGAGAACACAGACAGCAACCAGAGAGCTCGAGTCGTAGTTCTTTTCCTGTGCCTTCGAAGTTGAATTGTCCTTCGCCAGATTGGTGGCCCTCTCTTTGAAAAGTGCTCCAGATTTCGCGGATACTCACAGGTGTTCGCCATTTACCTAGTCACACGGACAGGTACTATACCAGGTGGTCTTGGCCCACTGGGGAAAAGCCAAAAGTCTACATGAAGAATCTTCACAAAGCAGAGACTTGCATGGTGAAGGAGCTCTTGTTGGGGAACCCTGGAGATCGTCACACGGCACATCGCAGGGATTGAAATGACAGGAATCACGTGAAGTTCTTCAAAAAAACTATACATGACAGAGTGTTTTGGCTGTTACCACTTTAAATATTTGCCATTGTTGACCGTGCAAAGATTGATAGGAAGAGGAAGAAGAGGAGGACACCGGCGGCAGCAAAAGCTCAGCACCCAAAATGACGGTTTGGCGGTCCCACCAAAAGGGGCGAATGATTCGTGCAGCCGGCTGGGTTGGATGTGACCGAAGACGTACCGCCTGTCTCTCTCACTGAACTAGCAGCTAGGTGCAGAGAAAATCAAGCAAAGACATTCTGCGGAGCTGAGCGAGATGTCTGCAACTCTGAAGTCTTGGCCTTGGAATGTGTATATTTGCATTCTTTGTGGTATATACACTCCTATACATATATCATATATATATATATACATATCCGACATATCCATGTTTCTTAAAGCTGTGAAGAGGTGCCTTGTCTTGCGATGCACGGACCAAGACGGCTTTCTAGAAGCGAGTTGCGCTTGTGCGGACTCATCATGTGGAGACATTCGTTGCACTGTCCGTTCTGAGACTTCGAGAGATCAGCCTGGATGAGATTCGGCGACTTAAATGCATGGACGTCGTGTGCTGTTCATGTCACATGCTCATTGTCTTTGATTGGATGAGCCGTACATGCAGAATCCAAGTCAGATGACGCCCAGGGTATCCGATCATGTTCATTGATGTTTGCTTCCCAGGTATCCGCACTGGGCCAAGTACATTGATGATCTCTGACAGCCATGAGCATCAGTGCGAAAAGAATGAGATTCTTTCTGGCAAAACGACTCTGTTGACTATAGTCACCATACCTCTGTACTACTTACAAGACTGCCTTCCAAGAGGTCTGGAGTCTGACAGTAACTTTTTGAGCTGGCTGAGTCAGCTAGTTGCAGTGTTGGACTGCAGAGTGTGCAGCGGAGTGGTACGAGTCAGTCAGTGCTCAGCTGGTCGATTCCTTTGAATGACATTTGCACCTCAGACATCTCAGCTTCACATTTTCAAGAACAAGCGACCTGTCTAACATGTGACATGTGTGGACACAGCGGCCTTATCACGGCACAGAACATCTTTTCAATTTCTGGACAATTTGTGGCTACTCAAACACATGGATTTTCTCCCAATCGCTACTATGCTCACCTTAGAAGCGACACTAAGAAGCCGGAGAACGACTTGTGAGACCATATTTTCAGAGACAATCGTGAGAAGACGACTTGAGACATAAAGGAGCTACGTTCGTAGCGTCCGATCGCTCCTACTACACCGCAGACAACTCGCAGATCGACAGCGCGAAGACTTCCCGATGTCTCCCATCACCCAATCCGCGGGCACTGGGATTGGCGTTGTGGGTTCGGAGCCTCAGAACCGCTCCGTCGCTCCGTGCGGGAGATCCACGGATCTGGTTCGGTCACATGTTCTGCAGGTGACTCAAGGTGACTCAGGTATGCGAGAGGTGATTGGACTTGAGTCTTGCTCGTTTTGGACTTCAAGTTTTCATCTTTCGAGGATTTTGTGGTGACTTTGAGGGGAAATTACGAGAGATCAGAGAAAGACGTGTGATTTCTGGTATATTTCGTGGCAAAAACCTTTGGACGTGTTGGTGCTTGTAGCCGCTTTCAATGTGTGGTGCTGTGCTGTCCGTACTTGGAGTTTGCACATTGTGCATGAACACTATACTACGTTACGCAATACTCGTGCGCAATACTGGTGCGTGAGACAAGCGGGCAAAACACATCCCCAAAACCGCAGAAGGCGAGTGGCGCACGAGGCGCATGAGGCGCATGTGCAAGTCAGGAAAACAAGTACATCGCATCGGCAAAATGGGCTCAAAAAGCGAGTTCGACGTTACTAGCAATGGCCTCCAACCCACTAGCGTTCTTGCTCCTACTACTTAAGGCCAGGGGCCCCTAGTAGCGTCCTTTGCTCCTAGTAGCGATGCCCTTTGCTCCTAGTAGCGTTCTTGCTCCTAGTCCCTAGCTGTATTGTTCTTGGTCTTGTTTTGTGTTTTTGTACGTGAAGTATTTTCAGTCCTCACTTGTCACAAGGAACCTCATGGGAAATCTACGTGGAACACCCCACACCCTTGTCACTTACATATCACAGGGTGCAACACCTCCCTCACCCAGGTCTGTGTGTGAATGTGTGTGGGCAATGACGGGCTTCGTCGATTCGGTTTCTCCCTCCGCAACAAAAGGCCAACTCGTGGAATGACAAGCAACCAACGCTTATTACTAGCCGCCATGGCCTCGCCTCCAACTAGAATATTTTTTCCTGATGTTTGTTCAACAGTGTTTCGGTGTGGTGATAATTTTGAGGAACTCCCTGTGAGGCGATGAGAAAGGCTGGTCAGGTGGGAGCACAAGACCTGATGGCGAGGCGGAGTGGGGAGTGAGCAAGAGTGACACTTTTTGTTAATCACTGGGATCAAGAGGAAGCAGAGAACTGGCACCAGCCTGTAGAGGCATACAGGGTTTTGGAAATAGATCAGCGATCTGACCGACATTTTCTCCTGCATTGGCCAGGCGAATCAGCCACAAAGCATCAAGGAAAAGCGACCAAAGGTCTTCTTAGAGGTGGATCCGTTCGATGTCATCAATAAAACATCCCGTCATCAATAAAGAAAGGTAGATAAGCTTGGGTTGAAGGTCGATATTCAATGAACAGTCTTGGTAACATACTCCAGCCCCAAGATTTTCCAAAAAGTCGTTCTTGCAAAGGACAGACATTCCGATTTTCTATCAATAATTCGGTAGAAAGCCTCAGATTGAATGCGCGTTCTGCTCAGCCTTCGAGCTCTAGACCAAGAAGGCACAAATGCAGCCTGTGAGGTGGAGCTCCACAAGCGGCAGCTAGGCAAAGTGGTCCTCGAGCTCTTTGGCGACGTTGTCCCGAAGACGGTCGAGAACTTCCGCTGTCTTTGCACAGGAGACCGAGACGTCGAGTCTCTTTACTACTAGGAGCAAAGAAGCTAGTAGAAACAAGTGCATCGCTACTAGTAACAAGTGCCTTACTAGTAGTAACAA